GTAGTTCATACTCAAGCACAAGGAGACACAAAAATATAAGGTATTCAAAACCGGCTCTTTCAAATTTGTTAGTACTTATCACTTAATGTCCATACACTACATACATATTCATAAAACAATTAGCCAAAATATAACCAAAGCATATTAAACAAAGTTATTGAATCTTTTTTTCCTATATGACCTTACCATATAATGTGGGATAGATTTCATACCTCAAAACCATGTAGTGTACTACCTGCGCTTTCTTGATTCATCGCTTTTACTTGTTTGACAAGCTTTTGTGATCTTGAAAGTGTACACAACTGATGGAGAATATATTGGTTATCGGTTTCACATGTCACGAAGTGTCCATTACTTCGGCAATTGGATTCTCTTGTCTTACACCATGAAGAAAATCTCTTCTTCATCCCATTATATCAAATATCATAATTTCAATTCTTCAACTAATCTTTTGTGTTTCTATGCTACCACCAAGTCTCTCTATATATCCATTCATTTCGAAGAAACCAAGATGCTTTTATAGGTATTGTGTTTCTTCTTCTTTCTGGTTTCTCCAGATCAAATACTCTTCACATAGTGCGTTTTATCTTGCCAACTCTATATTACATCTCTCTGAAGTTGTACTATAATAAATCATACTCATGGCATACTATAAAACCTTTTAAAGTGTGTCTTAAAGGTTTCTATAATTGGGAATTCAAGGATGTACCTTAACATGCCACATCTTTTAATTTACTGCAGCATAGAACATGAGCATTCCATGATAAAAATATGATAGCTGTCAACTCATAAAAAGTTTATCTCCGTATCCTTTTGAGTATTCAAATAGACTTAAAAATATAAAATAATGCTTAGTTCCATCCCTAAATCATACCATATAGTGAGTCTTCGTTTCAGTGACATTTAGGTCACAATGCAATTTTTTCAGTAGAAAATTAGAATGAGCACCTCTCAATAAAAAATTGTTGCTCTCAATTCTCAAAGAATTTCTTCCTGAAATCTTTAGTGTTGAAAACTAGACTCAAAATCAAATCACAAGGCATGGAAATAGTTTTCGTTGCAAAAAACAGCACTTGCCACCCTTCAATAAATTGATCATCCTTTCAATAAATTGATCATATCTTTCAAACCACAAGGAATTTCTTGATGAAACATTTTTTGCTTGAAAGTAGACTCAATTTTGTGAGTTAATGTAAAATTTCAGCAAGAAATAAAATCATTAATTGGTGGGAAAAATCACGGACCTCAATGGATAGTTCTTAGATTTTGCAGGGTCAAAACTGATACCTTTCATTGATGATTCCATAACTCTCAATTCCCTTAGGATCTCCCAATGAAATTTTTCAGGTAGATCTTACGCTTAAAGACACAAAATATCACTGAAATATGTAATAGAAAGATACTTTATTATCTTATTCATATCACTACTCAAAAATAGCCCAGAATACTCATTATGCAGAGTGCTTTTTCGGTGTTGGAGTATTTTAATAATTCTTAACCATGGGTGTATTTCTTGACTACAAAGGTCATTAGCTTTCTTATATCTCATTCTCAAGCTTCATCTAAACTCAATAAAGAGAAAAGATAATTAATGACATCAAATATCAATAACTCTGATACCACTGAAAGAAAAACCTATAGGATCTTTTACTGGGGGATACTTTTTTCTCTTTTTTTTCTTCACTCTTTTCTTTTGACAAAAGATAACTTACAGGTGGTCTTTATTACAATAAAATAAATTTCAAAATAAAATCAACATAACAATAAAACCAAAATTTTAACAACTTGATGCCATTGAAACAACTATGCACTATGCTTGAGAATAAAAGATAAGATTGTAAGAAACAAAAGGAAAAGTGTCGGAGATTACCTCAACCGGGCTCACACCGAGTCACCAGCATCTGATGGCGCAGGATCAATGATTAACCTTTAATCTCAATCTGGAAAGCAAGTTTAGGCCATGCCATACCAATAAGACATGAACCCCTTTTTATCGCAAACTCAAACCCTATTTGAATTCTCTTAGCAACTTAGTTTGAGAGAGATGAATTATCTTTTTGCTAAACCCTAAAACCCCTAGCCATAAATCCATAGTTGAGAGATAAGAGAGAGAAGAACTCCATAACCTAAACCATTTGGTTCTTTCACAATGTGGGAGAGAGAGATCAAAGATGAGAGAGTTGTGCGTGTCCCTTTTGGCATTCATGAGAGAGAGAAGCTTTTCTTAAGAGAGAGAAAAAAATTCTAAGTGGGGTGTGCTCTTTTGTAGGATAAGAGAGAGAAATATGGGAATTAGGTACAAGAGATATATTTTTGGGTAGACAATCCCTTTTTATAAGCTTTAAATAAGATTAGGGTTTTTTAGGGTTTTCCTTGGCTTGCATCTTCTTGTGAGATTGAATATGAACCATTGATCTTGGATAACTTGTGGTGTGAGAGATTTGAGCCATCCATTCCATAGATGGGCCATCAATATTATGGAAGGTGCATGAACTATTATCCCCCTTTTCTAAACCATTTTCCCATCAATAGAAATGAAATAAATTAAATCTAATCAAATGTTGTGCATACCATAAAATAACACAAGTCTACTCAATCTTCCACAAAATCTTTCAAAGATATATCAAGACAATATCTTCCAACCATATGGCCACATGCCATATCACCAAAAAATAAGAAAGAGAATAAGGGTGGGGTGTGCCACCTTAGGGAGACACTCATGGGCCCCACCTTCTAGAAATATGGTGGGCCCATGTGCACAATGGGCCCCCATGATATTTTTATATATTTAAAATTAATAAAAATATTTTAGAATATTATTTGAATATTTAAGCAATTGGAAAATCACTATCTTTAATTTTATAAATCCAAAAATTATAAATAAAATATCCAGAGATTCATAAAAATTCAAATAATAATCCTAAAATAATTTTCATAATAAAACAAACACAATTAAATTAATTTGATGGGAAAATGATCCATATGGTTTAGGAATCAACAATCATGGGGCACTCCACCTTCAACTGTGGACTACAGACCACACTTGCTTTCTCAGACCGACCAATGTTTACAGTCCAAGCAATGGCTCATTAGCAGATCACTAAAGTCCGACCGATGAGCCAAGGGGTCGCAATATCAGTTTGTGGATTTCAGGTTCTCCCCTAGAGACGAGTCAACGTCACCTAGACTTGATGCGACCACAGCTCCTATGGTGCATAAGGGTGTCTGTTGCACATGCATACGCTTCAACCTAAAAGGTGGATTTCTGGCTTTCTCGAACGATCTGTCAATATGCATGCCATGTAATGGCACATGGATGAGGCTTTGGCCGCCGTCTCTGAAGGCCATCATCACACACAAGGGTCACACAGTCTCTCGGCTCACTCATCCGGGCATATTCTCCGACCTCATCAAGGGCTAACCTATTAGAACCCTTCTCGGTTTGTTCTTTATGCCCAGGTAACATGAGTTTTTCTCAACCGACTGGCCTAGATCGTCAAACACAGTCCGGTATCATTTGTTTAGTATGGTCCACGAGGGACCACACATCCACTGAGTTCATGTTTCATTATATCATTTTATTTTACAAGCACTCATAAAGCCTTTAAAGGCCACATAAACCCAACAAATTATTAATTTTGTGAAGATCTCTGCTGTCACATGTCAATATGCTTAGACGCTCCTTTGCATAAATAAAGTAACATAATAAAGGCTCCTTATTTATAGAGTTCACATTGGGAACTTTCAAGGAGATTTCATTACACTGGATAGGGGCAATATTTCACAATGCTAACAATGCAAGTCATATTTGTGAAGAATATCAACAAAGATCCCAACATCTTATGGCCTTCTTAGATAACAAAGATCCTAACATCTTCTGGCCTTCTTAGATATTTTATTTATTTTAGCACAGAGGGTCACAATTATTCATGTCTTTGAGATTTCAAATCGGGTGATTAGGATCTCCTTGCAAGAAAGACAAATGCTCTCATCGTATACAATCCCTAATCCAAAATGCTTGAAACTGCTGGAGCCAAAGAGTCCGCAATGATTTGATAGGCCTGTTGTGTTGGGTGGACGGCGTCCCAAAAAACGTATTTGGATGCATCGGGGCACATGGGAGACTTAGCATTACACAAAAAGCTTGCTTCTATGAACCCCGTTCCACAACAACCCCTTCTAACCTCCTCAAAGCCTGAAAATGTAGTATTTCATTTATTAACATATCTGTACATGTAAGGTACATGTCATTGATCTGCATGGTAAAATGTTTATGACAAAATCAGAACCATTAGGTTATCAATGATATACCCACAGGAACGTACTTTTTAGGCATGTCTCACTCCAATACTTTGTCAACCAGTTGCTAACCCTATTGGCTTTTATTTTTGCATCCAACCCGTAATAAAAAAAATAGCCTTTTCAGGATGAAAATACACCATGTATTTAAGATGGTTTCTCTCAATCTTAAAAGCTAAAATTTGAAATTTTAGAGAGAAAAACTATCTCAAAATTTTTAGATAGAGAAACTATTTCAAATTTTGAATTTCTAGGTAAAGAATTTATCTCCGGTTTCATAGAGAGAGGAATTATCTCAAATTTCAAGTTTTGGTGAGGGAAACTATCTCAAAATCTTTAGAGAGAAACTATTATTTAAAGGGACAATAAATAAAGAGAAAAGTTTACATAGAGCCGAGGCTCTAAACAATCAAATTAGAGCCTACATCAAAAATTTCACTAGAAGAGGTTGTTTTGATGGCCAAATATCTTCAAATTGATCATCTTGACATCAAGATGCGTGGACATAAGAAAAAAAAAATGGATTTCAAGTTTTGGAAATGATATATTTTGTAATACATTTTTGGACTGTAAATTTTCAAGATTTCATAGATATGTTGATCTACACTATTTTTGAAGCTTTAAACTTTAAAAATAAAGGCGAAAATATATTTTAAGGCTATCACAAAGATTTCTAGTATTGAAACCACATTTCTCATTACTATTTGAAGGTAGCTCCAATTTGATTCCTTAGAGCTTAGGCTCTATACAAACCACACTGATAAATAAATAACTTGAAATTTGATATGATTTCTCTCTTTAAAGTTTAAAATTGACATAGTTTCTCTCTATAAAAACTTTGAGACAGTTTTCTCTCTAAAAATTTAAAATTTGAGAAACTACTCTAAAAATTTGAAATTAGTGATAGTTTCACTCAATAAAAATTTTGCCATAGTTTTTCTCTCTATAATTTTGAATTCAAAATTTCAAGAGAGAGAACCTATCTTAAATACAAGGGTATGTTTGTTCGGAAAGAGCTATTTTTTAAGGAAAAATATACAATGAGACTATTTATCTTTGATACAAGTATGTCACAATTAATATTAACCATTGGATGTCCAATTGGGTGGTTATATTTATTCCATTTCCTATGCTCAAAGTTTAAAAGAAATTTTTTTTGAACTTTGTGACATGGATGATTATAACTAATTGTAACATCCTTGTTTCAATGATAAACGCTCTCATAGAAGGACCCGGGTTTCTATGTAGCCAAGCCCGCATATATAGAAATGCGGGCTTCTTAATAAATATATTTTTGAGATAGATTTAAGGACTTAATTTTTAAAGACATAATCTCTAAGATGGAGATCATGAATATGAAAAAATAAATAAGTTTTAAAAGGTAGAAATAATAATTCTAGTAAGAAAACATTTGGGCCATTGTTTTTAGATGGAACACCTACTTGCATTCATCTTTAAGATGGATGCTTTACACTCTCTGGACCGCATATGTAGAAATATGGTCCAGCCCGTATGAAACAATTTTCCCTTAGGGCCTATTTGGGTATATGGATTTTAAGGCATGGATTCCTAATATCTTGGATTTTGCCAAATTCTACTGTTTGGATTGCTTAATGACTAAAATACTTAAAATCAGGAAAATCAAAATCATGGAAATAAGACCTATTTTTCCATGATTTCATTTCCCCACCAAAACCTGTTTTTTTGCATTTTCAATGCCTATGGATTTCACTCATTGGCTCCCATGACCCGAAGCATAGGGAGCAATTCATAGGTATGAAAATTTTAGAGAGAGAAATTACCTAAATTTTTTAAACGGAGAAACTATCTCAAAATTTTTAGAGAGATAAATTATTTCAAATATTAACTTTTAGAGAGAGAAAATATGTTCAAATTTTAGATGAAAAAAAGTATGTTAAAATTTTAGAAAGATAAAGTATGCTAAAATTTTAGAGAGAGAAAATACCAAATTTTTTTTTAGAGAGATGAACTATCTCAAAATTTTAGAGGGAGAACCTATATCAAATTTTAACTTCTAGAGAGAGAAAATATGTTAAAATTTTAGAGAGAAAAAGTACCAATTTTTTAGAGCGATGATTTATCTAAAATATTTAGAGAGAGAAACTATCTCAAAATTTAACTTTTAGAGAGAAAAAGTATATTAAAATTTTAGAGAGAGAAAGTATTAATTTATTTAGAGAGATAAACTATCTCAAAATTTTAGAGAGAGAAATTATCTCAAATTTTAAGTTTTAGAGAGAAGCTATCATATTTTAGAGAAAAAAAGTACATGATAATTTTTCGAGAGAGAAACTATATCAAATATTAAGTTTTAGAGAGAAAGTATTCTTAAAATTGCGAAGAGAGAAAGTATTATTAAACTTTTAGAGATAAATTATTATAATTCTAGAAAGAGAAACTGCTAAAAAAATTTAGAGAGAGAAATATCTCTTTTTTTTAGAGAGAGAAACTATCTCGAATTTGGAATTTTAGAGAGAGAAAATATATTAAAATTTAAAGACAAAAATTATATCAAATTTTAGGGAGAGAAACTAGCTAAAATTTTTTAGAAATAGAAACTATCGCAAAATTTTTGTAGAGAGAAACTATCACAAAATTTTTGTTTTAGAGACAGAAAGTA